CCTTCAAATTTCATCTTTTTTTCTAGCCTGAGGAGGAATTTTCAGAGCATTCCTAGCTGCCCTTTCCTCACCAAAACAAAAACAGTAAATGCTGGATAAACTCAGCAGGTCTGACAGCATCTGTGGAGTGAAAGTAGAGTTAATATTTCAAGTCCAGTGACCCTTCTCCAGAACTTCAGTTTTTGTTTCTGATTTCCAGCATCCACAGTTCTTTGTGTTTTTCTGGCCTTTCCTTACACAGGCTATTCACGTTGCTTTCACTCTCCCACCTTTTATCCTTTTCTGGTTTATGGGAGTGACATAAAAAAAGGTTTCATTTTATGGATCAGCTCATAATTATCAGCCATCTATGGTGCTTGTCTGGCTGCAGCCCTTTGGTCTTCTGCATGAGTTCTAATTACAAAAAGTAGTTAATTTTTAATTTATTCTTGAACTTCCCCAAAAACTTTATTGATGGCTTCTACTCCTAATGTCTATATCCAATGATCATAAGAACATAGAGAAACAGAAAATAGAGCACGAGTAGGCTATTTAACCCTTTCTGAGCCTGATCCATCATACAATATTTCATGGCTGATCATCCAACTCAACACTGTTCTGATTTCTCCCCAAACTCTTTCATCCCTTTAGCCAAAGAAATATGACTCATTTTTTGAAAACATTCACTGTTTTGGCCTTCACCACCTTTTGTGACAGAGAACTCCACTGCTTCACCAATCAAGGTCAAGAAGTTTCTCCTCCTCTCAATCCAAAATGTCCAATTCTATATCCTTAAATTGTGATCCCTGCTTCTGAACTTTCCATGACCAGGAACATCTTTCCTGTGTCTACCGTGTCTAGTCCTATTAGAATTTTATGGGTTTCTGAGATCCCTCCCCCTCCAAAATCCAGTGAATATAGATTTAACCGATGCAGTCTCTGTTTATACATTAATCTTGCCATCCCAAGAATCAGTCTGGTAAACCTTTGTTGCACTTACTACATAGCCAGAACATCCATCCTCTCATAAGGAGACACAACTGCACACAGTATTCCAGGTGTGGTCTCGCCAAAGCCCCATACAATTACAGCAAGGCATCTCTGCTCTTGTCACAGCTCAGCAGGTGTGGCAGCATCTGAAGGTAAAAAACAAAGTTGACATTTCTGGTCCGATGACCCTTCCTCAAATTCTGAGGAAGGGTCACCGGACCTGAAACGTTAAAGCTGTTTTGTCCTTCACAGATGCTGCCAGACCTGCTGAGCTTTTCCAGCAACTTTGTTTTTGTTCCTGATTTACAGCATCCGCGATTCTTTCAGTTTTTATCTCTGCTCTTGTACTTGAATCCTCTTGCTATGGAGGCCAGCATACCATTTTACTTTATCACCTGCTGCAGCTGCATGTTTACTTTCTGCAACTTGTATATAAGGACACCTGGGTCTCGTTGCACCTCCCCCTTTCCCAATCTATTGCCACTTATATAATCTGTGTTTCTGTTTTTGCTTACAAAATGGATAAGCTCACAATTATCTGCATAATGCTTCATCTGCCACGATTTTGCCACTTTATTCAACTTGTTCAACTCACAGTGCGACATCTCCGCATCCTCCTCACAGCTCACCCTCCCACTCAGCTTTCTGTTATCTGCAAACTTGGAGATATTACGTTTTAGTTCCCTCATCTAATTCATTAATATATATTGTGAATAGCTGGGGTCTAAGCACTGATCCCTGTGGTATCCTGTTAGTCACTGCCTGCCGCTCAGAAGACCTGTTAATTTCTACTTTGTTTCCTGTCTGCCAACAAATTCTCAATCCGTGTCAGTCTACTACCTCCAACGCCATATGCTTTAATTTTACATGCTAATCTTTATTTGGGAACCTTATCAAAAGCCTTCTGAAAGCCGAAGTAAACCACATCCACTAGCTTCCCTTCTAGTTACATCCTCACAAAATTCCAGGAGATTTGTCAAGCATGATTTCTTTTTCATAAGTCCATGCCAACCGTCCAATCCTGCCACCATTTTCCAAGTGCTCTGCTGTTTAGTCTTGTCTTTAATGGACTCCAGTATTTTCTACTGATAACAGGCTGACCAGTCGACAATTTCCTGTTTTCCCTCTACCTGTCGTAAATCGTGAGGTTACATTAGCTACCCTCCAATCCGTGGAAACTGTTCCAGAGTCTATAAAATCTTTGAAAGATGACCAACGAAAGCATCCACTATTTCTTGGCCACCTCCTTAAGCACCCTGGAATATAGATTATCGGACCTGAGGATTTGTGGCCTTTAATCGCATTAATTTCTCCAACACCATTTTCTTACTAAACTGATTTCTTTACATTCCTCCCTACCACTAGATCCTGAGATGTTATTTGTATCCTCCTTTGTGAAGACTGAACCAAAATATGTATTTAATTGTTCTGCCATCTTTGCTCCCCATTATAGCTTCCCCTTTTCTGAATGAAAGGGAGCTACATTAGTCTTCACTAAGAAGCTTTTACAATCAGTTTGTATGCTCACTCCAAGCCTCCCCATATCTGTTTTCCTTTTCTTAATCAATCACTTTGGCTTAATTTGCTAAAATCTAAACAGCTGCCACTCCTCAGGTCTTTCTATTGCTTTGTTTGGCCAATTTGTATGCCTCTTCCTTTGGATCTAGTACTATCCCTAATTTCCCATTGTTGGCAATGGTCGTGCCACCTTTCCTGTTTCTTTTGTGTTAGACCAGAATGAAGAATTAACAAGCAGTGTTCCTCAGTTTTCATAGCCAATTTTTGCCTCATACCATCATAGTTTCGTTTTTTAAATTCAGAGTCTCGGAATCAACTACATCACTCTCGGAGTTCTTCATGAAGATTATCATATTACGGTCACTCTTCCCCAAGGAGCCTTGCACAACTAGATTGAGGACAGAATATTTGGCAATGCACAATACCCAGTCTAGGGTGACCTACCTGTTCTCTATTTTGGTTCCTGAATGTATTGATGCAGCAAACCATCTTGTACATACTCTAGGAATTCCTCCTCTAAGGAATTATTACTGATTTGATTTGTCCAAATCTATATGAAGATTGAAATTGCCCTCAATTACAGCTATATCTTTATTGCTTTATTGCTGTATTGCTTTGTTTAAATTCCTGTTCAATGCTTTCTTCAACATTGCCACTACATTTTGAGGTCTGTATACAACCTCCATTTTTTTTACCCCTTGGTATCTCTAAGCTCTACCCATAAGATTCTATTTCTCCAGAGTGAATATCCTTCCTCATGACTACATTAAGGTCCTCTTTAACCAGCAATACTACCCCGTATCCTTATCCTTTTTTTTTGGTCTGTCCTGAAAACAGAATACACCTGGATATTTGGTTCCTGTCTCTGGTCCCTCTTCAGCCACTTCTCTGTAATCTCAACTCTCATTACCATTTGTACCTATTTGTGAACTGATTCATTGATGTTATTCCAAATGCTCCTCATGTTAAGGCCCAAAGTGTTAAGGCTTGACTTTTTAACATTCTTTGTCCTGTTCACATTATTTTGCACTGTGGACCTGCTTGATATTTGCCCTCGAATTCTTTACCTATAATTCTTATTACCTTATCTGTGTTTTGTTTTTTCCCATGTTTCCCTGTCTACTATCTCAAATAGGTTTCCATTTGACTGCCATTTTAGTTTAAACCCCCCAACCACACTAGCAAATACTCCCTTTTGGACACCAGTTCCAGGTGTTGGCCAGGTACAACCATCCATCTTGTTACTGGTTACACCTCCCCCAGATCCAGTCCCAATATCCCAGGAATCTGAGTCTCTTGTCCCTCTCTCTCCATCTCTGCAGCCAAGATCTGATATTTCCTACTATTTATACTCTGATGTGGACAATCTTTAGATCACTCTCTTTGACAACCTACTCTTTAACTTACTTCCTAAATCCCTACATTTGGCTTTTAGAATGTCATCCTTTTTTATCTCTGTCATTGTCATTGGTACCAGTGTGTACCATGACCAGAGGATGTTCACTCTCTCCCACTCCAAAATCTCCTGTAGCCACTTTGAGACATCCTTGATACTAGCCCCAGCAAGCATTATACCAGGTTACCAAAATGTCTGTCTATTCCGCTGATGATTAGATCTTCTATTACTATAATTTTCCTACACCTATTTCTCCTCTCCAATGCAGCAGAGCAAACCATGCCGTAGTGAATTTGGTTGTTGCTACTTTCCATGATAGCCATTCCTCCCAACAGTATCTGAAGCTAAAATTATTTTGCATTACCATTTGAATTGCATTAAATGACTGCCAGACTATTTCTTTATTTTTAAACATTCACCTGTTTTTCTATGGAACTAATTTGTCTGCACCTAGAATAGTCCTTTTTTACTGTTGTACTCAATCAGAACTTCTTCCATGATGCGTAAACCTCATGCTCTCCCTATCAACCTACCTTGCATAAAAAGTGCCCAGTTTTTGTTCAGCGATTTAATTTGTCTTGCTGCTTTTTCAAACATAATAAAGAATGCCTCTACACACTTTTTAAAGTTTTGGTTGGGCATTTAAGCACCTCCTTCATTGGATTTTGAGTTGGTGGTGCATTTTGCAGATCAGGACTTTCCTCTGCATCTGAGGTTTTTTAAACTCCGGCCTCTTAAGTCTGTAATCTTTTACTCCCCTGAAACTCTGCTACAGCCTCTTCAGCCCCATTTCCCTTTCCAAAGCTTTATTTTTATTTGCAAATTCAAGTTTATTTTAAATTTCAGTTATCTTTTCTAGCTTGAGTTGCTTCATCTGCAACTGTATTCTTAAACTGAGATGACTTGCCATTTAGTGTTCCTGGTCCCTTTTGTATCTCTAGATAACCCAAATGCCGTGCTCAGACTTTGATCATATCTGCATTTCCTTTTTCATTTAACCTATTTTTCCAATCAACCTGTTCAGAAATGTTCTTACACACTTCTGAAGCAGTGGGACTTGAACCTGGGCCTCCTGGTACAAGGTTAGGGACACTACTACTGTGCCATGAGGGCCCCAAAAAATTTGGAACGCTAGATGAATTTGTGTATTATCCTTGTTTAGGAGCCGTGCTAACCTTCTCTGTCATTCCAATTTTAGTATATGTGCTGCTGAAGCGAACATATCTGCATTTGTAGCTTTTGCAGGAAACATCACCTTTTAGTCCTCCTGTCAATTCTGTTAGCCTAGCCTTTGTAAAATCTTGTAAACCAATCAAGGGTACTTCTTCCCATGTGGGAAAATTTTAGCTGCTTCTCATGCCATTTTGTTTTATAATATGAGAAACCTGTTAGCTGTCCTTTTTTTTTAATCAATTAATATTACTCCAGATTCAATTTTACATTGACCGTGTCCAAGGTATATCATGACCATGACGGGAGAATTGTGCTGATAATGGGGCTCCACTACTCCTCCAGTCATTATTTTATATAAGGTTGTTTAATTACCAAAATGGCCAGATGTTGCTATATTTATATTACTAGCCAAAATGAAAAATGTTCACCAGGCAACTTTAAATGGATGATTTTGGAGTTCATTAATTATAAACAAAGCTTATTCTTAAAGCAAGCAGCAAACACTGGCTAACATCTAAGATAATGATCTGGAATTAAAATCATATATATTCTCATAATTCCATACGCGCACGCACACTTAACACAAAAATCAAAGGCTCTGCAGTGATATTTATAAATACAAATGATAGAATGAAATGATTTCTCGTGCCGACTGAACTTTCTATCAACAAAGCCAAATGGCTGACAGCTGTAGATTGATCCTAAATGTACAGTTCTGATTGCAGTCAACATGGGTTTGAATCTTTGGGAAGTAGTCATGGTCCACATCTTTGGATTTTACAAGGTAGACCGAAATGCTGGTAATTGGAAACTGTCACATTTTCAAGAATTTCAACTAAGCAAGTGATTTTCATTAGAGCTGTAACTCCTGAGAGATTTTTTTAATTGACTCCTGGGTCTGTAAAACAGAAATTTAAGTCCAGAAAATACTAGAATCATAGTTATACAGCACAGAAACAGAGCCTTCAATCCAACCAGTCCATGCTGACCGTTATCCCAAACTAAACTAGACCAATCTACCTGCACCTGGCCCATATCTTCCAAACATTCCTTATTCATGTACTTGTCCAAATGTCTTTTAAACATTGTAACTGTACCTGCATTCACCACTTCCTCTCTTCATTCCACACATGAACCACCGTGGAAATAAATAAATAATTGCCCTTCAGCTCTTTTCTAAATCTTTCTCCTCTCATCTTAAAATATGTCCCCTAGTCTTGAAATCCCCCATCTAAGAAAACAACACCTGCCATTCACCTTATCTAAACCCCTCATGATTTTATACACCTCTGTAAGGTCACCCCTCAACCTGCTATATTCCAAAGAGAAAAGTTCCAGCTTCTCAAACCCTCCACTCCCGGCAACATCCTGGCAAATCTCTTCTGAACCTTCTCCAGCATAGTATTCTTCCTATTAACAACAGGGCAACCAGAACTGGACACAGTACTCCAGAACAGGTCTCACCAACATCTTGTACAACCTCAACATAACGTCCCAACTCCTGTAAGCAAAGGACTGAACAATGAAGGCAAGCTTGCTAAACACTTTCTTAACCACCCTGTCTATGTGTGATGCAAATGTCAAAGAATTATGTCCCTGAGCGCCTAGGTGTCTCTGTTCTGCAACACTACCCAAGGTCTTACTTTTAATTGTATAAGTCCTGCCCTTGTTGTTTGCAATACCTTGCATTTAGCCAAATTAAACTCCATCTTCTAATATTTATTTTAAAGAGAGGTTATAAGGCAGAAGTGAAGAGCTGTCACTAAGAAAGTAAACCATTTGTGAGGCCTTGGGGCATTAAAAATTTTTAACGTTGGAATATTGGAAGCAGCCTGAGTGTAGCCAGCTCTCTCAGACCAGGGACATAATTCTTTGACGTTCGCATCACATATGGACAGGGTGGTTAAGAAAGTGTTTAGCAAGCTTGCCTTCATTGTTAGCGTTGGAATATTGGAAGCAGCCTGAGTGTAGCCAGCTCTCTCAGGCCAGTGGTTCTAGTTTTACGTTTTAGTTTTTGGGTTTAGTTTTAATCAGAAGCCGTAGGGGTCGCAGAAGATTTGGAAGCTTCAGTGAATGTCTTCTAGCTACAACTTTCTCTGAATTTTTCTCTTGGCTTTTCTTTCCTCCTGGATTGGAGTACTGCATGTGAGAATCTGCATCTGAATTTGCCCTTTTGCTAAGGGGTGTGTTTGTGGGATGTTACTATATTGGAACAGTTAACTAGTAATAGGTATCTATTATTCAGTTAAGTTATTCTAAGTTCATCTTTCTTTTGTTTGTATTTTAACTATAGTGTTAACGTCAAGTAGGTTGACCAGACTCACTGTACCTGGAACAAAAACAAAGTTGCGGGAAAAGCTCAGCAGGTCTGGCAGCTTCTGTGAAGGAAAAATAGTTAACGATTCAGGTCTGGTGACCCTTCCTCAGACCTTGGTGGAATTTGGCACTTCACATTACCTTCTTAAAATAAGAAAAAGTCAGGGTCTAGGCTACCTTCTTGAAATATATTGAGGGATCTGGTCTGCTCCGTAACAAATTGAGGGCTCTTGTCAGGATAAAAATCACTAATTCCAGATTGGGTTTAAGTTTGTTGGATTCAAAGGCAACAAGTGGTAGTTATTAGTGTCTTTTTGTTTTGATTGCTGAATTTAGTTTGTTTAAACAGGGTGTGCCTTGTGTCGTAATGGCTCACTCGGTCACTATGACCTTTCTGGGGGTGGAAGGAGTGACTTAGTGAGTTTTACAAAAATTGAGCAAGACCAGGCTTTTGGAATTGGCAAGCAAACTGGATTTGGGGTTGCCTGGATCTGCTAGGAAAGGCAAGGTAGTTGTGGCAATTGCACAGCATTTAAAGTGGCTGGAAATGTTATCAGAATCTTTGAAAATTGCTAAAATTCAATTGCAAATGAAGCTTGAACAGGAAAAGAAAATAAAGCCCTTTGAATCACGATTTAAAGCATAGGAAAAAGAGAAAGGCAGAGTTTGAACTTCAGAAGTTGGTAATTAGAAAGGAAAGTCAACTTAAAGGGCATTGGAAATAAGTCAAACGTATGACGCTCTTAGAGAGTTGCTTATTTTGGACAAGTTCAATAATTCACTTCCTTAACTAGTGTGAACTCGTGGAAGAGCAGAGAGTTAAAACTGCAAATTAGCAGCTAAAATGGCAGAAGATTGAGTTGGTTCATAAATCAATGTCTGTCTTGCGACAAAAATTTCAGGCAACCTATGAGGTGGAAAGAGAAGTAAAAAAAGCACAAGTGTTTTCACTACAATGAAGTACGCCATTGAAGTCAGTGTTGGTGGTTTAGAAAAAGCACTAGGAAGACGGATGTGGGAAAACAGGATAAGTCAGTGACAACACAGTGTGGAGCTGGAGGAACAGAGCAGGCCACACAGCAAGAGGAGCAGAAAGTTCATGTTTCGCGTTGGGACCCTTCAGAAATGGGGAGGGGGAAGGGAGTGGATGTTCATGAGTGGAACGCCCATCTTCAGAGCCGACGCGGTAGAGATGGAGGAATTGGGAGTAGGAGATCATATCTTTGCAGGGTGAGAGGAGGTGTAGTCCAAGTAGCTATGGGAGTCGGTCTGCTTGAAATAGATGTCCGATTCAGGATGGTTACCAGAGATGGAGATGGAGAGGTCCAGGAAGGAGGGAGGTATCAAATGGTCCAGGTGAATTTGAGGTTGCGGTAAAAGGTGTTAGTAAATTTGATGAACTGCTCAAGCTCCTCATGGGAGCACGAGGCAGCGCCGATACAGTCATCAATGCAGCGGAGGAAGAGGTGGGGGATAGTGCCAGTGTAGCAGCAGAAAAGGGACTGTTCCACGTATCCTACGAAGAGGCATGCATAGCTTGGGCCCATGCAGGTTCCCGTGGCCACCCCCTTAGTCTGTAGGAAGTGGGAGGAGTTAAAGGAGAAGCTTTTCATGATAAGGACAAGTTCTGTTAAGCAGATGAGGGTGTCGGTGGAGGGGGACTGGTTGAGTCTGCAGGAGAGGAAATAAGAGTGCTTTTAGGCCATCTGCGTGGGGGATACAGGTGTACAAGGATTGGATGTCCATAGTGAAGATGAGGTGTAGGGGGCCAGGGAAAGGATTGCAACTTCCTGCTTCTGATGATCAAGGACCACAACGTCTGCTCTCCAGTGATCAAAAATGCCCTCAACTGCATCTCTTGCATTTCCTGCACTCCTGCCCTCAAACACCCTTCCCACAACAAAAATGAAGACAGAATCCCCCTTGTCCTCACATATCACCCCAACCAAAGAGGTATTTCCCTCCCCACACCTATCTGCCTTCCATATGGACCGTTCACTCTGCAACTACCTCGTCTGCTCCACACTGACCCCATCACATCTGGCACCTGGCCCTACACCACCCCCGTCACCTCCACTCAATGCCCAAAAGAAACCTCTCATATCAGACAGGGGCTTACCTGCACATCTGCCAATTTGGTCTGCTGTATCCACTGCTCCCAATTGTGGCCTCCTCTACATCGACGAGACCAAGCATAGACTCAGACCATTTCGTAGAGCATCTGCGCTCTGTGTGAGACAAACCACAATACTTTCCGGTTGCCAACCATTTTAACTCTCTTTTTTCCCCGCCAGATGGCATGTCCATCCTGGGCCGCCTCCAGTGTCACAATGACACCACCCGCAAACTGGAGGAGCAACAATTCACATTCCACCTTGGGATCCTACAGCCCGATGGCCTAAACCTATAATTCACCAGTTTTTTTTAAAATCTCCCCACCCCAGGCCTCATCCCATGTCCAACCCTTCCTCTCACCCCCGCCTACTTGACCTGACACAACCTGTCCATTGTCTATCCCACTAGCAATCCCCACCACTCCCTACCTGCATTCACCTATCATTATCCCACCTACTTTCCCCAGCCCCACTCCTCCTCTCTATTTATTTCCCAGCTCCCTTCCCCCTCCCCATTTCAGAAGAAGGATCCCCACCCGAAACATAGACTTTCCTGCTCCTCTGAAGCAGCTTGGTCTGCTGTGTTCCTCCAGCGCCACACTGTACTGTTCTGTCTC